CCATTAATATTCTTTACCATTGTTTGAAATGAAAAGAAACATCGATTAGACAAGAAAAAAAAAAAACAGAAAAAACTGAGACACAAAAACTATTTTTTTTATCTCAGTAAAGATTTCAGAGGTAAATGTTTTCCTGTTTTGCAAATACAATAAAGGAGAAAATAGTATAATAATAATACTACTAATAATAAACAATGTTACTTATACAGGCGTACCGCGGTTTACGAAATTTAATGCGTTCTCCGTATTGCCAAAAAATTCATAAACTGAAACTTGGTTTCCCATAGGAATGCACTGAAAACCAATTAATCTGTCGGGAGGTCAGAAAAAAGTTTTTAAAAAGTCGCTGTCACTAAAGGTCGGTGCTGATTTTTAAATGTAATTACCGGCTTTTGTTTTCTTCACTATAGCTCAAAGAATCAGTTGTCACTCCCTCCCCCCAGCTAAAAGAAAGAAAGTTTCCTTTTAGTTTGTTTCCTGAGATAAAAGAAACAATGGTTCCTTTTAGTTTGTTTCCCGAGATAAAATAAACAATGTTTCCTTTTAGTTTGTTTCCCGAGATAAAAGAAACAATGTTTCCTTTTAGTTTGTTTCCTGAGATAAAAAAACAATTTTTCCTTTTAGTTTTTTTTCCTGAGATAAATAAAAACAATGTTTTCGCAATGTTTTTTAGTTTGTTTCCAGAGATAAAAGAAACAATGTTTCCTTTTAGTTTGTTCCCCGAGATAAAAGAAACAAGGTTTCCTTTTAGTTTGTTTCCTGAGATAAATAAAACAATGTTTCCTTTTAGTTTGTTCCCTGAATAAAAAAGAACTATTTTTCCTTTTTTTTGTTTTTTTTTCCTGAGATAAATAAAACAATGTTTTCCTTTTAGTTTGTTTCCTGAGATAAAAGAAACAATGTTTCCTTTTAGTTTGTTTCCCGAGATAAAAAGAAAACAATGTTTCCTTTTAGTTTGTTCCCTGAGATAAAAGAAACAATTTTTCCTTTTCGTTTTTTTTCCCGAGATAAATAAAACAATGTTTCCTTTTAGTTTGTTCCCCCGAGATAAAAGAATCAATGTTTCCTTTTAGTTTGTTTCCCGAGATAAAAGAAACAATGTATGCTTGAGCTCTGGGGAAAGTGACAGCTAATTCTGTGAGCTATAGTGAAGGAAAAAAAAAACTTAAATGGCATTTAAAAAATCAGCACCAATATACACTTCGTATTGTGAAAAAAAATGTGTAAAAAGTTTGTAAACCGAGGCGGTATTTTCAATGGATTTTCATTCGTTAACCGAAAATGACTTTAACTGAGGAGTTCGTAAATAGATGTACGCCTATAATTACAATACCAACAACAATAATAAGAGCAATAATAGTAGTAGTAATAATAATAGATAGAAAAAGAAGAAGAAAACATATTGTAGAAATTTGTTTCATACTCGCAGATTAAGGCCTCATTTCCATGGGGCGTACATAACACCCATGCATCCCCACATGGAAGAAAAATATATTTGAAATATATTTTAAAAATATTCTTCCCAAATATATTGACATATATTTGAAATACTACAATTTTGACCATAGTCAATATATTTCAAAATATATTTCACTAAACATTAAAATAACATATATATATATATATATATATATATATATATATATATATATATATATATTAACTGCATGTTGAAATGTATTTGTTTTATATATTACAAATATATGAAAAATATATTTAACAATATATATTGTTGAAAATATATCTTCAGATTTTTTTTCAATATATTTTTACATATATTTGTAAATGCGTTCCAAAAATGTTAGATTTGTATTTTTAGAGACATACGGTATATTTGAAAAATGTATTTTTCAGATATTTTGTAATAAAAACGCATTTCAGTGTGTGTATATATATATATATATACACAGTATATTTAAATGTATTTTGAAATATATTGAATACGGACAAAATTGTAGTATTTCAAATATATGTCAATATATTTGGGAAGAATATTTTTAAAATATATTTAAACTATATATTTCTTCCATGTGCGTCTCTCTCTGCCGGTAAACATGGCCCTCCGCAGGTGGATGGTTATGTACTCCTTTGTGTGAACGAGGCCTTAGATTTCAATACACATCGACCAGTCGTAACATTCTGTCCACTGACAGGTAAAGTTGAGTAACGTTGATTATCTCATTACGATGACACCAGAAAGTGGGCGGGATATATGAGGCATCAAGTAAACATGTTGTCCCTGAAGTTGATGTGTTGAAAGCAGTGAAGAAATGGGCAAGTTAAAGGATTTGAGGGGACTTTGACAAGGACAAAAATTGGGGTTAAAAAATTTCAAGTCCTGAGCTTACTAGCCAGGCCTTAGAGTTACTCGCCCCAACAAACACACACAAACAGAGACACATGTACACACACACAGACATGTACATACACACATACGCACTCAGAGACACATGTACACACACACAGGCAAGTACAGACACGCATACACACAGATACATGTACATACACAGAAATACACACGAACAGACACATGTACACACACACAGACATGATTACATACAGTCAGGTCCATAAATATTGGGACATCTACACAATTCTAACATTTTTGGCTCTATACCACAATGGATTTGAAATGAAATGAACAAGATGTGCTTTAACTGCAGACTGTCAGCTTTAATTTGAGGGTATTTACATCCAAATCAGGTGAACGGTGTAGGAATTACAACAGTTTACATATGTGCCTCCCACTTGTTAAGGGACCAAAAGTAATGGGACAGAATAATAATCATAAATCAAACTTTCACTTTTTAATACTTGGTTGCAAATCCTTTGCAGTCAATGACAGCCTGAAGTGTGGAACGCATAGACATCACCAGACGCTGGGTGTCATCCCTGGTGATGCTCTGCCAGGCCTTTACTGCAACTGTCTTCAGTTCCTGCTTGTTCTTGGGGCATTTTCCCTTCAGTTTTGTCTTCAGCAAGTGAAATGTTTAATCGGATTCAGGTCAGGTGATGATTGGCCATTGCAGAACATTCCACTTTTTTGGTTGCTTTTGCAGTCTGCTTTGGGTCATTGTCCATCTGCACTGTGAAGCGTCCAATGAGTTGTGAAGCATTTTGGCTGAATATGAGCCGATAATATTCCCGAAACACTTCACAATTCATCCGGCTGCTTTCTGTCAGCAGTCACATCATCAATAAATACAAGAGAAGCAGTTCCATTGGCAGCCATACATGCCCACGCCATGACACTACCACCACCATGATCACTGATGAGGTGGTATGCTGAGGACCATGAGCAGTTCCTTCTCCATACTCTTCTCTTCCCATCACTCTGGTACAAGTTGATGTCGGTCTCATCTGTCCATAGGATGTTGTTCCAGAACTGTGAAGGCTTTTTTACATGTCGTTTGGCAAACTCTAATCTGGCCTTCCTGTGTTTGAGGCTCACCAATGGTTTCCATCTTGTGGTGAACCCTCTGTATTCACTCTGGTGAAGTCTTCTCTTGATTGGTGACTTTGACACACCATACACCTACCTCCTGGAGAGTGTTCTTGATCTGGCCAACTGTTGTGAAGGGTGTTTTCTTCACCAGGGAAAGAATTCTTCGCTCATCCACCACAGTTGTTTTCCGTGGTCTTCCGGGTCTTTTGGTGTTGCTGAGCTCACCGGGGCGTTCCTTCTTTTGAGGAATGTTCCAAACAGTTGTTTTGGCCACGCCTAATGTTTTTGCTATCTCTCTGATGGTTTGTTTTGTTTTTTCAGCCTAATGATGGCTTCACTGATAGTGACAACTCTTTGGATCTCATCTTGAGAGTTGACAGCAACAGATTCCAAATGCAAGTAGCACACTTGAAATTAACTCTGGACCTTTTATCTGCTCATTGTAATTGGGATAATGAGGGAATAACACACACCTGGCCATGGAACAGCTGAGAAGCCAATTGTCCCATTACTTTTGGTCCTTAACAAGTGGGAGGCACATATGCAAACTGTTGTAATTCCTACACCGTTCACCTGATTTGGATGTAAATACCCTCAAATTAAAGTTGACAGTCTGCAGTTAAAGCACATCTTGTTCGTTTCATTTCAAATCCATTGTGGTGTATAGAGCCAAAAATGTTAGAATTGTGTCCATGTCCCAATATTTTATGGACCTGACTGTACATACACAGACACCTGTACACACACACAGACATGTACATACACACATACACACTCAGAGACACATGTACACACACACAGGCAGTACAGACACGCATACACACAGACACATGTACATACATACACAGACACCTGTACACACACACAGAGACATGTACATACACACATACGCACTCAGAGACACATGTACACACACACAGGCAAGTACAGACACGCATACACACAGATACATGTACATACACAGAAATACACACAGACAGAGACATGTACATACATACACAGACACATGTACATACACACAGATACATGTACATACATACACAGACACATGTACACACACACATACATGTACATACTTGCAGACACATGTACACACAATGTACATACACACAGACACACACAATTACACACATATGTACACGTACACACACACACCATCCCCTCCCCCATAAAAAGTTGCAGTACTTCGTTGTTCACTCACAGAGCCGGGTACTGCACTCTAGGGGGAGGCAGAGAGCACAGCACACACTCCTTCCTTTGCTTTCACTGCGCTCAGCTATTGAGCAGTCCTGAGGGCTCTCTCAGTGCCAATGACAGATCCGGCCTGAGCTCCGAGCCTGCTCAGCAAGACGGCCCTGGGGGACACACTCGCCCCACCATAATTTCCACTCGCCATTGGCGAGCAGGCGAGTGGAAATTTCAAGCCCTGGTTTAGACCATTGTTTCTCAAGTAATGGGTAACAAACACAAAGTGGGTTGCAACCAGAGGCGGACTGGGCCACGGGACAAGCAAACCCAGGCTTCTCTAATGCCCCAATAAAACATCCGGTGCGTTGACAACATAGCTTAACCACTTTCTGTCCGGCCCATGTGCATAAACGGGAGCAGTGCAGGAGCGGGTGGCCATTTATAAATGTCCTCCCGCTTCCCTGCCTGTGTGTGCTCCCTGTGTGAGGTCCCGATCATGTGATCACTGATTGGCCAATCAGTGATCACATGAACAGTAGTACACAAGAAGTCACTTCTGACATCATTGCTTACTACGTGTGAAATCTGTGAATGATCACAGAGATCACATGGTACAGGGCCATTCATAACAGCCTTGTACCATGTGACAAGCTGTGACCCATCACAGCTTGCACAGTGTAAAAAAAAAAAAATCTTCATCACCCCCCCACAAGTAGTACAGCAGTGTCACCATGGTGATACTACTGCTAGGGTGACAGTATGTAAAAAAAAACAAACTAAAAAATAAAAATGTAAAAACATTTTTTGACAAATTATAATTTTTGGTTATAAACTAATTTGGGTTATTTCTTTTTTTGCTAAAAAGATAACTGAATACAGTTTGGCCAAGATTTCTGAAGAAAGATTATCTATTTACAAAATTTTATAAGAAAAAAACTTTTTTTTTCAAAATGTTGTACTTTTTCATTTATATAGCAAAAAGATAATAATCCCAGCAGTGAATAAATACCAACAAAAAAAGCTTTATCTGTCTAAAAAAAATGCTAAAAAATTCATATGGGTAAAGTGTTGCATGACCGCGCAATTATGATAGCACTGAAAGCTGAAAATTGGCCTGGACTGGAAGAGGGGGGGGGGAAGTGTCCGGATTGGAAGGGGGGGGAAAGTGTCCGGACTGGAAGGGGGGGAAAGTGTCCGGACTGGAAGGGGGGGAAAGTGTCCGGACTGGAAGGGGGGGAAAGTGTCCGGACTGGAAGGGGGGGAAAGTGTCCGGACTGGAAGGGGGGGAAAAGTGTCCTGGACTGGAGGGGGGGAAGTGTCTGGACTGGAAGGGGGGAAGTGTCTGGACTGGAAGGGGGGGAAGTGTCTGGACTAAAAGGGGGGGGGAAGTGTCTGGACTGGAAGGGGGGGGGGGAAGTGTCTGGACTGGAGGGAGGTGAAGTGTCCGGACTGGAAGGGGGGGGGGGGAAGTGTCTGGACTGGAAGGGGGTGAAAGTGTCCGGACTGGAAGGGGGGGAAAGTGTCCGGACTGGAATGGAGGGTGAAAGTGTCCGGACTGGAAGGGGGTGAAAGTGTCCGGACTGGAAGGGGTGAAAGTGTCCGGACGGAAGGGGGGGGGAAGTGTCCGGACTGGAAGGGGGGGAAAGTGTCCAGACTGGAAGGGGGGGAAAGTGTCCGGACCGGAAGGGGGGAAAGTGTCCGGACTGGAAGGGGGGGAAAGTGTCCAGACTGGAGGGGGGGGAAAGTGTCCGGACTGGAAGGGGGGGGAAAGTGTCCAGACTGGAAGGGGGGGAAAGTGTCCGGACTGGAAGGGGGGAAAGTGTCCGGACTGGAAGGGGGGGGAAAGTGTCCGGACTGGAAGGGGGGGAAAGTGTCCAGACTGGAAGAGGGTGAAAGTGTTCGGACTGGAAGGGGGTGAAAGTGTCCGGACTGGAAGGGGGGAAAGTGTCCGGACTGGAAGGGGGGGGGAAGTGTCCGGACTGGAAGGGGGGGAAAAGTGTCCGGACTGGAAGGGGGGAAAGTGTCCGGACTGGAAGGGGGGAAAGTGTCCTGGACTGGAAGGGGGGAAAGTGTCCGGACTGGAAGGGGGGAAAGTGTCTGGACTGGAAGGGGGGAAAGTGTCCGGACTGGAAGGGGGGAAAGTGTCCAGACTGGAAACTGGGGGGGGAAAGTGTTCCGGACTGGAAGGGGGGGAAAGTGTCCAGACTGGAAGGGGGGGAAAGTGTCCGGACTGGAAGGGGGGGAAAGTGTCCGGACTGGAAAGGGGTGAAAGTGTCCGGACTGGAAGGGGGGGAAAGTGTCCGGACTGGAAGGGGGGGAAAGTGTCCGGACTGGAAGGGGGGAAAAGTGTCCGGACTGGAATTGGGAGAAAGTGTCCGGACTGGAAGGGGGGGGAAAGTGTCCGGACTGGAAGGGGGGGAAAGTGTCCGGACTGGAAGGGGGGGGGTGAAAGTGTCCGGACTGGAAGGGGGGGAAAAGTGTCCGGACTGGAAATGGTAATAAAAACTTCTGGCTGAACTAATATAAATTTTAAGACGGCTGGGACTGCAACTATTATTGCGGCCAGCCAGTTCCATTAAGGTGATACGCACGGTGCACTTTGCAAAGTGGTCCCATGGTCCTCAAGCTCAATCCTTCTTCCTCCGCACTGGGAGGAAGTGACATCACGATGACGAAACACATCGGACAGAGCTAATTGCACCACTTCCACTTCGCATGAGTTTGTATGTGGAGCGCAACGGCGTTTTTAGAATGGATTGTTTTTTAACCGCCTCACACCCGCCATATAAGGAAATGACGGGCGCAAGGCGGGTTCTCTCGTTTTTTTTTTACATACTGTCACCATAGTGACATTGCACTACTTGTGGGGGGGGTTATGTAAAAAAGCAATCATTTCTCCCTCTCTCTGGCTGCATTCCCAAAGCCATTGAGAAATACTGTGTGAGCAGTGATTGGTCACAGCTTGTCACATGGTACAAGGCTGTTGTGAATGGCCCTGTACCATGTGATCTCTGTGATCATTCACAGATTTCACACGTAGTAAGCAATGATGTCAGAAGTGACTTCTTGTGTACTACTGTTCATGTGATCACTGATTGGCCAATCAGTGATCACATGATCGGGACCCTCACACAGGGAGCACGCACAGGCAGGGAAGCGGGAGGACATTTATAAATGGCCACCCGCTCCTGCACAGCTCCCGTACAGTACAGTGTTGCGTGTTGCAATTGTCATTCAAAGTGTGATAGCGCTGAAAGCTGAAAATTGGCCTGGACTGGAAGGGGGGGAAAGTGTCCGGACTGGACTAAAGGGGGTGAAAGTGTCCGGACTGGAAGGGGGGGGAAAGTGTCCGGACTGGAAGGGGGGGGTGAAAGTGTCGGGACTGGAAGGGGGGGAAAGTGTCCGGGACTGGAAGGGGGGGAAAGTGTCCGGACTGGAAGGGGGTGAAAGTGTCTGGACTGGAAGGGGGGTGAAAGTGTCTGGACTGGAAGGGGGGGTGAAAGTGTCCGGACTGGAAGGGGGGGAAAGTGTCCGGACTGGAAGGGGGGGAAAGTGTCCGGACTGGAAGGGGGGGAAAGTGTCCGGACTGGAAGGGGGTGAAAGTGTCCTGGACTGGAAGGGGGTGAAAGTGTCTGGACTGGAAGGGGGTGAAAGTGTCCGGACTGGAAGGGGGGGAAAGTGTCCGGACTGGAAGGGGGGGAAAGTGTCCGGACTGGAAGGGGGTGAAAGTGTCTGGACTGGAAGGGGGTGAAAGTGTCCGGACTGGAAGGGGGGGAAAGTGTCCGGACTGGAAGGGGGTGAAAGTGTCTGGACTGGAAGGGGGTGAAAGTGTCCAGACTGGAAGGGGGGAAAGTGTCCGGACTGGAAGGGGGTGAAAGTGTCCGGACTGGAAGGGGGTGAAAGTGTCCGGACTGGAAGGGGGGGAAAGTGTCCGGACTGGAAGGGGGAAAGTGTCCGGACTGGAAGGGGGGAGAAAGTGTCCGGACTGGAAGGGGTGAAAGTGTCCGGACTGGAAGGGGGGGAAAGTGTCCGGACTGAAATAACACTGACGTACAAAGCCGTCCACCATACTGCCCCGAACTACATCACTGACCTAATATCCAAGTACCGCCCAACACACACACTCCGCTCCTCACAAGACCTCCTTCTCTCTAGTTCCCTGGTCTCCTCCTCCCATGCCCGCCTCCAGGACTTCTCCAGGGTGTCACCCATCCTCTGGAACTCCCTGCCCCAATCCATCAGATTATCACCTACTCTCCTCTCCTTTAGGTGCACCCTGAAAACCCATCTCTTCAGGGAAGCCTACCCCACCCCCTGCTAACTTGCCGACCTCCTCCACTCTTCCTACCACTCCATCCCCACAGCTATCTCCTCCTGTGCCACCACCCCCTCCCTCCTAGATTGTAAGCTCCAAGGAGCAGGGCCCTCGATCCCCTCATGTTTTGCATTGTATTGGTATTGTTCTGTCACATGTTCTGTCCCCCTTTGTAATGTACAGCGCTGAGCCAACTATCGGTGCTTTATAAATACTGTATAATAATAATAATATATGTGTGTTATTTGTTGTTTGTACCCGGAGCACAGCCCAGAAACAATAGTGCGCATTTTGTTTTTGTTTTTTTTTTACCTAAAACACACTGACAGTATCTGACACTGGTACCAAATTTTTTTTTTAATCCTGACCTTTGACCCTAACCTTTTGACCTTTGACCCTGATCTTGACCCAAACAGTAACCCTGGCACTGAACTACATCAAACCTTGATCTAGTTATTTTTTTCTTTATTTTTAAATCTTTATTTATTTATCTTTTTTTTTTTTTTTTTAACAAACATTTTTTTCCCTCTATGCCAGGAGTTAGAGAGATACAATGTATAAATAGAATGTATATAATGATACAATGTATTTTTTTTTTTTTTTTAACAAACATTTTTTTCCCTCTATGCCAGGAGTTAGAGAGATACAATGTATAATAGAATGTATATAATGATACAATGTATAATAGAATGTATATAATGATACAATGTATAATAGACTGTATATAGTGATACAATGTATAATGGAATGTATATAATGATACAATGTATAATGGGATGTATATAGGATGATACAATGTATAATAGGATGCATATAATGATACAATGTATAATAGGATGTATATAATGATACAATGTATAATAGAATGTATATAATGATACAGTGTATATTGGGATACATATAATGATACGATGTATAATGGAATGTATATAATGATACAATGTATAATGGAATGTATATAATGATACAATGTATAATAGGATGTATATAATGATACAATGTATAATGGAATGCATATAATGATACAATGTATAATGGAATGTATATAATGATACAATGTATAATGGAATGCATAATGATATAATGGAATGATACAATGTATAATGGAATGCATATAATGATACAATGTATAATGGAATGTATATAATGATACACTGTATATTGGGATGCATATAATGATACAATGTATAATAGAATGTATATCTTGATACAATGTATAATGGAATGTATATAATGATACAATGTATAATGTTTCATTTATAATTTTTGCATAATTGTTTTTATCCATTATTCTTTTTCTTTTTCTTTGTTTCTCTTTTTTCCACTTCGCGTTCCTTTTTCTTTTTCTCCTTGTTGTTTTCTGAGATCACTGTTTTTGATACAATGGTTTTATATGTTTTGTTACAATGTATCAGTAGGCGTATCCTCAGGATTCAGGATGTCTGATTGGGACGGGTGTTCTTTATTCACTAATATGGATATAAGACGGCACTTTTGTTGTTTTCTTTGTTATAATTAAGCATGAGATGGTGTGAAACGCGTTAACAGGTCCTGTATTCATGTCCTGGTGTTCTGTGTGTCCTATGGATCAATACATACACACTATATTCATCTATCCTCCGGGGTGCGGCTGACCTGTCTCCCTGTGGCATCATGTGTGGTGGTGAGCCAGAGCCTATACCTGTTGGTGATTGATCCGGATTATTTGCCTGAGCGGTATACCTCTGTTCTTTGGATTCATCCAATAGCTATAGGATTGACAGCACAGCATCCAATTTGATTTATATAACTACACTTCCTTCTGGCCAGCCAACCACGCAGGAGGGAAGAAAAGCACCACTGGACGCCAGCAAGGGACTCTGCTAGGTACTTTTCCTGGGTTGTGGATGGGTGATGGAAAGCGCATTTTGAAAGGAGTGAAAGAAAACAGGAAAGCAAAGGTGATGGGGGGGGGGGGGGGGCTCGCTGAAAGTGTGCATGAAAGGAAAGGGGAGGTGTAACATTCCATAATGTGTAAGATTCAGGTAGTTGAGATGTGATCAGTAGAAATATATAATTGTGGATCTAGTTTAATCCCGTGTTAAAGATCAGTATTCAGTATTCAGTCAGAGACATATGTTCCCCAATCAGCATCTGAAAGGACAGAGCAGCTTCTAGGCTCGAGGTGTCAATAAAACGTCACCTATGTAGCCAGAGTTTGCCACCTTCTTGAACCTAAAAGAAGAATCCTAGTCATTTTGGCTGCAAGAGTCAGCAGGAGACTGGGAGGAGGCTCCGAAATGTCTGCCAGATTTGAGTTATATCCACACATTAGAGGAATATATTTAATCTCTCATAAAAGCAAAAATATTAGTTGCAGAGGGATGGAAATACTTCCTTCTGATTGGACACACTGTATGCTCCATCTACATGTAAAAGTGTATTTGTAGCCTCTGTAGAATCCCAGAGAAACACATAAAACGGTTATATGGTGCCTGATTGTGTGTCAGGGAATGGGAAGATCGCCGTGGCGATCGAATCTGCACATGTGTAGAATCCTGACAAAACGTACAGGCAGGCGGGCACTAGGACCCAGGAGCGCCTGTCAGGAGTCGGGCGGGCTATTTAAACCCGGCTCTTGCAATGCTCAAGTGCCGTATGGTCTTTCCTGAGTTTGCGTTGCTGCTGATCCTGCCTGATCCTGATCTGCTGACTTCTCCTGCTCTGACCCCTGGCTTGTCTGACCATTCTCCTGCCTACTCCTGCACTTTTGATCTCCAGTTGCCAAACCCGGACCGTGACCCAGTTATTCCTCTGCCTGCCGTTTGTACCAACCTGCTCCGCTGTTTCCGACCGGCCTGTCTGACCTCGCTTACTCTACCTCCTCACATCAGACTCTCACCTGCTGCGTACCACCGACAGGTGCCTCTACCACAGCTGGTTGCACCCAAGGGTCGCGACCTGGTCTCGGCTTGCTCCAAGTCCATCCCCACCATCAGGGGCTCTGGTGGACAAGCAGGTCGGAACTTAGATTTCCGTGCCCTGTGTAATTTGGTCTGTGGAACGCTAGAGGCTACCATCAGCTGGTCCCTAACATTGCGTCAGCTGAACAATGATTGGTACTGTCGCGATCGGACTGACTCTCTGTTGTCAGACATGTATTCCTGACCCAGTAATCCGAACCGTTCTTGGCCCATTCGAGATTGGGCACTTCAGAACACAGAACATCCTGTGCGCTGGTACAGGAACACCCCCCAGGGTTGATTGGTCAAGGGCTAAAGTCCCACCTACATCCATAATTCAACAAGTTGAGGACCCTGAGATATGGACGGGGTGATTCATTCGGAGCCGGTTCCATATGACTGGCGAATCATGGACTTTGTTTGACTTGCTCCAGTCACAGGATAATTATTTCTGTTTTTTTATTCCCTTTTTACGCGTTTCGTGGTATAAAGACTGCTTCCTCAGGACCCCATATCTCCATATGACAAAAAAGTATACATAGATTGATTCTTTGTTTCTAGAACAATAAAAAAAATGAATATTACGAACATGCATGGGTAAATATACAGTTACAAATCATCAAAGACCTTATTAAAAAATGTTCTCACCTATGTAGCCAGAGTTTGCCACTTTCTTGGACCTAAAAGAAGAATCCTAGTCATTTCAGCTGCAAGAGTCAGCAGGAGACCGGGAGGAGGCTCCGAAGTCTGCCTGCTTTGGGTTATATCCACAGATCAGAGGA